GTTTCACTTAACTTACTTGTCTCAACATTCATAATTTCAGGTGCTAACGGATAGTCAACATGTTTATCATGTAATTCTTTAGGATACTCTAAATCAACATCTAATATAAAACCTACATTATTATGATTCCATGAGTTAATCTGTTCTTCTGTAAAATCCTTAACAAATTTAGTATCTTTATATGGTAATTTTTGACACATCGCTAAATCATATAAGTTATTAGCATCAAGATAATTTATATAAGAAGACGGTTTATTTTCGTCATACATTTCATTCATATATTTGTTATTTGCTTCTGCTCTTCTCTTTGATACTTGACACATACCACCGCGTAAGCCCTTCTCAACCATTTAATATAATTCTTCATCATATATTAAATCTAAAGTAACACCAGTTTTTAATAACATGGCATCCCAAGCAAAATTAGGAAGTGTGTAATAATGAGCAGGGTCTAAACCGTAATCTTCTAAACATTTAGTTCTGAAATTTTCAAAAACATCTGTTAATAATAGAACATCCGTTTTAAGATAAAGGTCATGATACTCACCGAGGTTTTTAATGTTAAAATGTTTCCATATATGTTGTGCCTTTTCATAATCTTCATCTTTAATATCTTCTTCCGCTAGTTGGCTGTAGAATTCTTTTTTAGGTGGTAGTTCTGTTTCATTGAATTTGTTAAAATCATTCATATAGTCATATGGGTAAATGCCCTTATCTGTTAATAAATCTAAATCATAATCATCCTTTAACAAATTCACTATTTTTACTGTATTTAAAATGATTTGACCAGTTCTCTCTTTTAACATTATCCTCATATTTTGTTAACTTTACAAGCTTATCTAAAGATGATGATAAGAAACTAAAACTATCTTTAAATTCAAGTTGTTTTAAACAAAATGTAACAAACTTCTCGCTGTTCTGTGCTATTACGCTTACATCATCTTTTTTAGTATTAAGTTTATCAAGATTTGATATAATGAGGTGTGCATCATAATTTTTAAGGTTATGAAAAAAGATAGGTATTTTAAAGTATTTGAAACAATAATCTAAATTACACTTGTTATGTGCACATCCACGATATAATCCTGTAAAATGACAATGGTCTCTAACTTTCTTTTTATCTTTAGTATTATTAAAAGAACCACCACATTTAAAGCATTTCTTACACTCTTGGAATTCTTTTTCTTGTTCATGTGTTATAATCATGGGTTTCGGATTTTTAATTTTTTCAAATATTCCTTCTCTAATTTCATTCATCGTTTTACAAAAATTATCCATACAATCCTCACCTCTATAAATGTATGGTTTAACTTCATTTGTTATTGAATTAACAACATTTAACATAAAACCTGATGGTATGTGATTCTGATAACTACCTTTAATACATGCTTGCATTGGTGCTTCGCTTTCTTATCATGTTTGACGTTAAGCACTCAAAATCACCATATATAACATAAGGACATCGTAATTTCTTGTAATGCTTTTGGAACATTTTTTTCTTTTTCTTCAGGCATCTCGATGGCTTCAACCTCATTAGCCATACAACCTTTTAATGTATGAGAAGTTAATAATCGCTCATGTTTAAAACCTTTTTGACACAAATGACAATGAAACATTCTATTAGTTGTTTTATTTGTTTGGGAACCCATTAAACGAGAATAGTCCTTAATATATACATAGTGACTTTTATCATCCTCATCTAATCTCAAAAGGTTAACATGACAATTTGGTTTAACGATTTTTGTTATTCTGTCTGCTCTTATTTTGTTGTTATCTTTATCAACTTTATAAACATTTACTGAGCAAGTATTAGTATTTATTTCTTCAAAGTGTTGAATATCTTCATGTGAAGCTGGAAAATTAACACCATCCCATGTTATTAAACTCTCATTATCTAATAATTTTGCATAATGGTAAAGTCTTTCTGGATGGTCTTTTTTGTAGATGTCGTAAAACCTACAAAGGATACAATATTTTAAACAAAAGTCATCATCGTTTTTAATATTTATACATGCTGTTTTCTTTGCTACCCAATCAGGTAGTTCTATAAATTTACCTGCTCTTGTTGGGTCGTATTTATCATAATGAATTGTTATTTTACTCACTTTCTTTATTTTTAATCCTGATTTACTTAAGTTCTTGTTTTCAACTAGAAGTTCAATATCACTTGCCATATTGTTTATAGCATTGTTTAAATCTTCTTCGTTTAAAATATTGTATCTTCTACTTCCTATTGTATGTGTTCTATCTTCATCATCAAAATTATAATCTTCTGCGAGATATGTAAATACTAAATCAACTGTTATTAAAACTTTCATGCTCTTGTGTTTCTTAAGATAATTGTTTAAGCGTTCTTTTTGGTATTTAAGGTATGATAAACCTTTAAAACCTGAAAGATTTATATTTGTAATGGAATAAGAATTAGCATAAGATTTTAAGGCGGATTGTTCATCTGTTATTGAAGCTTTGTTTTTAATAGCATAACTTTTTAATGTTTGACGAACCATAATTTTTTTAGAAGCATCGTTTAAAACTTTAAAGCGCTTGTATTCTGGAGTTTTAGATATTTTGTCAAGTTTCTTTGTTAAACGCTCTGTAAAAGGTTTTGATGGATTATATGGATATTCTTTATCGTTTATAATTACTCGTTTTAATGGTTTACCTTTATTATTAACTTTAACCTCACCTATTTTTGAAGATAAAACATATTTCATAACAGATTTTTTTAATGTATCTTCCATATAAATATAATGGTTTTCTCCCTTTAAGTCGGGTTTTCTGGGGTCTGGCGCCATACCCCTTAAGGGGGCTTCCCTTTAAGTCACATCGCCTTGGGCGCGGGGCGTGGGGCGTCCTGTTTATTATAGTAAATCCTCCTATTTACTTGGATAAATCACCCTATTTATTTGTATAAGTCCTTTTTTAAAATCCTTATCTAAATGATTTATAGCAATAAATCCCCCTATTTATTCGGATAAATCCCCCTATTTATTTGGATAAATCAACCCATTTATTCGGATAAATCCCCCTATTTATTCGGATAAATCCCCCTATTTATTTGGATAAATCCCCCTATTTATTTGGATAAATCAACCCATTTATTCGGATAAATGTTTGTGTAAATTGATTATATATGAATATTTACAGAGGTTAATATTTCTTGATAATAGATATATTAATAATGATGAACTTAAAAATTATTTGAATGATGTATTTGATGATTATAATAATTAAAAAAAATAGATTTAAAGAAAAACGACCGTTTAATATTGTATGGAAGTTTTAATCAATAAATATAAAAATAAAGTTGAACATAATAGAAGTGATTATGATTTAATTAAAAGTAAGTTAGAATCAATAAGAAATATTAAACAAGATTTTAAAGACCTTCTAGATGAAGAAGATATTAAAATAATTGATAATGAAATTAAAGCATATTGTGAAAAGGAAGAAAACATTATTAAAGATAAAGAAAAATATGAAAGTTTGTTAAATGAACTAAAAATCTTTTTTGATTATCATGAAAATGATGATAATTCAAGTGATGATAAAAATTCCTTACATTGTAAAATTAAAATAGAAGATAAATTTAATACACCACTTAATACAAAATTTGAATATTTAATAAGATAATTAATCTTAAAGACCGAAAACCCCAAGAAACATTCATAATAAAATTTATTATGAATATTTGATAAATCGTTAGAAGGTCTAAGACCCTAGAAACCTAGGAATTATGATAATCCCTGAAATTATGAATAAGGGAGATATTGAAAAAATGTATTATTTTATGCATAAATTATGAAAGTTTTGAATATATATGTATAAATAATGAATAAGGTGTCTAATGTCCTAGAACCAAGCCCCAAAATATGAAATCAAATATTTTTGAAAAACCCCTAAATTTTTAAAAATAAAAATGAATAAGGTAATTTTATGAAAATGAAAAATGAATAAGGTAATTTTCATGAAAATAACGAATAAGGTAGAACATTTTTTAAAAAGTAAATTTTTTATAGCTTAAGAAAAAACCGTAGAAAATTATTTTATGAAATGAAAAAGGTTCATAAAATGATTTTTTGTAGATTTTATATTTTAATTGTGATAAAATGAATAAGGGTGAATGTATAAATTTATATGTGGGCGCCTGTTGCGGAAGCCCCACAATCAGCCTTTCTACAATTTTTTTTTTGGGGGGGGGGGGAAGGATGTATAAATTGAAAAGGTTTCCTTCAAAGCCTGTCCTTGCTCTACATAGACATGTTTTCACATGACAACAATAATATACTCATGCTACTCAGTTCTCTCAGACTGCGCGACCTTGCAGGACATGTTCGAGAACTGTGGTCGGCCGAAGTCCACCGTCCAGTCGACAGTGAAGAGAGGGAACAGGAGTAGTTCCAAATGGTCATCCTGTCCGGCATCCGAGTACCCCATGTTCATGGTGGGCACGAGCTCCCAACCGGCGAAAGTCTTCTGTTGCAGTCGAGGGCAACTGAACTGCGGAGGACAGGGATTCTCTGTGCTCATCCTTCGCTCTATGTCCATCGCGTTTTAGAGTCTTGATTGTGCTGTCAGGATGTGCCGCACTTGACGGAGTCTCGTGCGTATCCTGCGCTGGAGGTTACACGAGCACACAGGCCACAGGTGGGCAATCCACATGTGTGGCTTGTGTAGATACGCCTGGATGGACCACCGTGGCTGGAGCAAATTGCTTCGACTCCGGGACGTCTTGCAACGACAATCTCGTGGATGGCCTCTCATCGGATGAAGCCTGCTGCAAGTGCGGAGGTGGACAGAAGGCAGCTTGCCTGATGCATTTGCAGTGTGGAGTCAAGCCCCAAAGACTGCCATTGCTTCCCAGATCTCAGGAAGCCACTCAATTCGCGTACTATGTCGCGCCAGTCGTGCTGGGGTCGACGACTATTGTCGGCTATCCCGTGCCCCGTACAGCTACCAAGTATTCAATAAACAAGGGTTGCACGCTCTTGGAACATGGCATGGCCATTAATGGCGACTCTCGGCTGTCCAAACCAGGCACAAGGGGCACTTTTTCTCACTGAACAGGGTTTACAGCATGCATCTGGGGCTCAAGATAGCGGTTTATCCGCATCTCTCGAGCTGAATCTTGGATTGGTCTGGATTTCGGGCTAAGGGCAAGCATTGTCTCAGGCTTACCACAGGTTTCGACCAGGGCTGAACCGGGGTTCAGCATGGGCTCGAAGTTTTCAAGATCATATGCTAAGGAAAGGCTGAAACTGAGCAGAAGGTATTTCGGGCTCAATTTTCAGTTTTGATCCTCCGTCCTCTGTTTTGTGTTAACATGCCCCTACCAAGCCCCTCACACATGTCAAGCTGAGCACATGGAAAAAACAGCATGAACCAATGGCTTCGGCAAGACAAGATGTTCTAGGGGCACACGTCAGAATGAACAAGTCTTGGCTGGACTGCTTCTGAAAATCAGCTTGAAAAAACTCGAGCGTGTTTGTTTTGCACGCCCAATGCGCAACCTGACACAGACCGTGGGCACATCACGACCGTATCGCTTACACATACCCCAGATGCTTGGTGTAAGTCTGAGTCTTAGGTCTTCAAGTCGTCGTGACTCCAAGGAGACCGGTGAGTTGGAAGTTGTACCGGGCGAAACAGTGGGCCGCGACAGAACCGAGGAGAGGGAATCGCACTGAATTTCCCAAGGGCTGCGAGGGTCCTTGCAACTGTGCAATTTGCTCCCCAGGGCTTCACAGTGACCTGCACCATCACAGCCCAGCAGACAGCCGAGCTCGCGGCTTCGGCGACGCTTACAGTTCAGGTGGATCAGGGCGTCTCGTATGGAGCCGACCCGCAACTTGGCAGATGGGAGGCACTTGATTTGTGGGGCTTTGGCCGGAGTTTCCGTCATTGCTGAGGCTGGTTTTCGAAGTCGTTGGCGGAGCGAGGTATGTACCCACAGTCCAGCAAGCAGTTGGCAACGTCTGGACTTTTGATACGCTTCAGTGCAATCCTTCAGATGCAACCTCCATGCTTCGCTTGGCTCAAGACGGGACGCTGAGTTGGCAAGCGGCCCAAAACGGTGGAGTTTCGGATCTCGGGACGCTTGCAACCAGTGACGGCGGTATTTGTAGTGCTCGTGCGGTGCCAAGCGTAGGAAGCTTGGAAACTGTTCGCTCCCGGTTTGTGGCAGTGAAACCGAAAGTATGGACATCCTTCAGCTATGTAGCCAGCTGGGAAGTTACAGTCGGACAAACTGCTCCTACAGCCAGGCCCACAGAACCCACCCAGGCTCCACGACTGCTGCCGCCTTCATCCTACACAGGAAAGTGCAGCGACGGTGTTACTTTGGATGTCGTCACAGGCCAGGCAACTTACCAGGGCTATCACGTCTTCGACATGGACTTGACGAGCGGCTCTGTGCGGTTAGCCCCTGAAGAAGCACTGGCAAGTACCTTTGTGGCGACAAGTGGCAGAGGAAAGCTGATGTTCAGCTGTGAGATCTTTGCCCTCTACCAGTATCCCCCGTTCGGGGCGGGGCCATTCCGTCGGACCGTGGTGGACATTACTGTGCAGGACGACACTTGCTGGCCTGAAGCCGAGCCCAAGCCCAAGTTTGCGAGCTACGTATCGCTGCAGAAAAACAGCGATTCTGCGTGCCGATGGGCATGCCGGAGCGACAAGACTTGTGCCTACTATTCCTATTCCGCTTCTCGGGGGTGCAGGAAGTGGACAAAACTCTGCACCTTCGATAGCCCCGGGTGCGAAGCAGCTCGGCGCACACACCCTTCCTTTAATATACATCCATGACTTTCCATAAGATTATCGCTGGGATAAGACGTGTGGAGTACTTCGCTTGCTTCTTTTGCCATCTCTCTCGAATTCTTTCTCCTCTTTTTTCTTCTCTCCTCTCCTCTCCCTCTCTCGCTCTCCCTCTCCCCTCTCCCTCCCTAACTCCTACCCCCTCTTCCTTTCTCTTGCCTCTGATGGCAAGCGGCCGCGTGCCTCCCCATATCGCCCTCCACAATCCTTTCAGTGCAAAGCAGAGAGGGAGAGAGAGAGAGAGAGATAAAAGAGAGAGATAAAAGAGAGAGATAAAAGAGAGAGAGAGAGAAAGAGAGAGAGGGAGAGAAAAGAGAGAGAGAGAGAGCAAGGAAGGAAGGCACGTTGGCTCAAGTATCGCACAGTTGCTTGGGGGCTTGTGCTGCCTCTTTGCATCGGGGGGGAGCCGGGGGGTTAACCTGGATTGTGACTCCAGGGGAGCCTTCCCGGTTCGCCCAGCGGTGCTTGAGTCCTGTGCCCGCCGCTGTTTTGTTTGGCCCGTGTCGTCCTGCTCCTCTTCGATCGAAACCCGACCGCGGCCCCTGCTCGGAGGGTGGCCCGCCGGTAAGGGGACGGAGCACATTACATCCCTGCGGAACTCGCGGGCTACGTGAACCACGTCCTTCCACAAAAAAGGGGGAAAAGCGGCAGCGAAGCCCTGCTGCCAAAACAGCCAAAGTGAACACAACTGGGAGAAGCAGTGTAGCCTGGCGGAGAAGCTGAAAAAGAAAGGCGTGACGTGCCGGGCATGTCTTGAGGGCTCCTTTTACCACACGGCCTATGATGGAGGGGACACGTGCTACAAGTTCCTGATTGCCACGGGACGTGCCGCCAGCGTGGAGCGCCTTTGTGAACTTCGTAGGAGCCCGGAGCACACTAGCCGAAGCTCAGCGCGAGCAGCTTCAGATGGAGAGCAGCCTGCTCCAAACCCACAGCCGGGAAGGATTCGGCCCTACAGCACGTGAGGTTCGAGACACAGCAAGGCCTTGGACTCCTTTATGAACCAAGCCACCTGGACAAGTGGATCGGGAAACCCATCCGCAGAAATTGGGGGACGTGGGCGTACCATGACCTGACGACGAGGCAAGCGCTTAGCCCGGAAGACACCGAGGACTACAAGCGCTACATACGGAGACACCGGAGACACAACGAGAGAAGGGAAACAGCCCGCAAAGCACACCGGTTGACCGACCTGGTGGGGAGGCATAACCCCCGCATAGAGAACGAGCTCCGGGTCTACATCATGAAGTTCCCCTGGAGAGTGGCCGATCTCCTCAGCTCAGCCGCAACCACCTGTACCCCCGAATCTCACCAAGTACATCCCGCGTGACACTGGGGAACAAGAGTCAGATGCAGCTTTCTGGGCCATCATGCACTTCGGGGAAGACGGGGCACCCAAGGCCGCAGAGACCCGACAGCATGCAGGGGCCGCCACCGCCGCACCGAGTACCCTACCTCCTCTTCGGCGTCCTCGTCAGCACGGAGCGGAGTATCAGAGGAAGAATTGGCTATTCGCGCCAGGGCTATAGCACAGAGAAGGGCTATCGAGGAGTACGACCAGAAAGTTCGGCTACAAGGGGCACCCACTCCAAGGGCACCCGCCCCAAAGAAGGTCGAGGACACAGTGGGGCAATCCGCGGGAAGCCCTGGACCAGGGAACCGTCCACACAAACCGGTGAAGGAGTGGGTTCCCGGGCACACAACGGTTTCAGAGCCAGCACTACCACCTCGAGCTCGCGGAGCACCAGCAGCAAACACGAGGACGGATGAGCGAGCTCCAAAAGCAGGCCTGGAAGCTCGAGAAGTAGGGGCACCCGACCAACGAGGACAGCGGCTACACAGTTTTGAAGAGTTTACCTTTGCAGGAGCCGGGAACCGGCTTCCGTGAACCACACAAGAAGCAAACGCAAAACGCAGAGACGCTCCTACCACAGGGTTACTGTCTTCTCACCTGCTAATTTGTACTCGGGGCACCCTTCGCTTTCCCTCTGCTTACCAACAGAATGGCGTGCCCACGACGAGCATAAGCCTCTTCAGGGCCGGTAATTCAGGCATGTTTTTGGACGCCCGCCCCCAGTACACACAGCTTTTGCCGGAAATAGTGGCACACACCTCTGCCAGCACACAAACACCCCCACACGGGGTACGTGGTGCTCGTTCAGTTTGTCGTACAGCCGAGCCTGTCACTCAAAATGGACGGGGCTGCGCTAACGCGCGGGTCAGGGGGGCTGCCCTTGGCCCTTGCCCCTAGCAAAGCAAAGCAAAGAGAAACCAAACGACACCATCGGGGACGGAGGTTTGAGGGGTCGAAGTGCAAGCACCAGGCTCGCTGGGGGACATACAAGTAGGTAGGCAGGTTCCACGTACAGGACAGTGCCGTCACTTTGTTTGTGTTATTAGGACGAACGACACGAACCGGTGCGCATGCCTGCGGGGGAGCAGGGTGGAGCGCGCCTTGTTTTTACTCTGTGTTGAAGAAGAGAGAAACCAGGCAGAGAAAGACAGACAAGGGTGGGCAAGAGCAACTAACAGACTAACAGAAAAGCGAACACTTTTGCTCACTCCTCGTTGCATCGGGGAGACAAGAATTATATAGTTGGAAGACAAGGGTGAGGGAACAGACGAAGAGGCGACAGGTGTGGAAAGAGGCGGGTCTCCGTCCTTTTTTTCTTGTCGCCTTTCTCCCGGATTCTAAGAGGTATAAAAAGGGAGGATCTGGAGCTCCAAACCCATCCGAAACGCCCCAAAAAGCCTGCCAATTGAAATGTGCAACTTGAGCAAGATGAGAATCATTGCAATGACTTGTTCGAGTGAGTAGCCGACAGAAGTTCTGCATGCAGGTCTGTGGGTCCAAAGCAGCATGTTAAAGCATCAAAGGATTGAGAATACAGCAGTGATACGACGTACTATAGCTTCGTAAAGCATCGTAAAACCGGGAAATTAGATTGAAAGCAAAGGAACCGCGCTTGCCACGTAGCACGCAACGATCGTACGCTAAGAAGAAGCTTCAACCATTTTGCTCACACCTAGCGAGACCATCGCTCCAATCAGCAACGCACTTTCTGCTGGCCTTGGTTCTTAATGTCGGCACATGCACTGAGGAGCCAGTCGATGAGACTTATGCCAGGGTATCCGATTGCTCGGAGCGGAAAACCTGCATCCGGATCACAACCCGGGAGAAGAACTATTTGAATGGGCGCTACTGCTACTTCGGGGAGAATCGCTATCCAGGCACGCTCCCGCGTGCGGTTTTGAGTATGCGTTGTTTCTGTTATGAGCGTGAGGCGCGTGAGGCGAGTCGAGAAAAGTTAATCGGATCGGGCCGGAGGCCGTGAAACTATGGAAAGACTGGAATTTTGGGTTTGGCTACCTGGCTCATGTGCACCCATTCCGTGAGGCGGCTTGGTCTTCCTGAAGGAAGGCATCACAAGCTACGAGAGCTTTTGGCTCCACCGCAAAGAAGGAGCCAACTAGGGGAAGTTTAAGCTAGTGCCAGTTTGTATCAAAATTAAGAGCCTCCGGCTCAGGCCGCCGACCCCGTGGGCGACAGACCAAAAGCCGAATCCCTAAACCANNCCCCAACCCTCAACCCTGAACCCAAAAACCCTAAACTGCAAAGCCTAAACCCTAAGCGACTTGAGCCACGGGAGTGCTGGGGTCTAGGCCAGAAGTTTGCGATGTTGCGGGTCGGAGGTTAAGGGAGGGGTTCAGGAGCACTTGAGCCATGACAGAAGCTTGCGGGTTTGGGGGTCTCGGAGGTCTGGGTAGGGGAGGTTGGTCTCGCGGTTGGGGTATAGGTCTTCATGCGGTCCGGACTCAGGGTCCGGGGCCCAAGTTGTCCAGCAGGTTTCGGTGAAAGGGGGGCAGGGGGGGGAGGGGGGGGTCCGGTGGAGTGGGTGCGTTTGGGTTTGCGGGATTTTGGTGTGGCGTGAGAGGAGGGAAAAAGGGAGGTCAACACCTCCAAACTCATCGAGACCCATCCAACACGCCGCCAGGGTCGGCGGACCCTAAACCCTAAACCCAACAGAGAAACCCTAAACCCACGTACACTTGAGGCCTAAGCCTACCTCAAGGCTCTGGAGCGCGGTTCAAGCCAGAAGCTCGCGGGTTTGCGGGGCTCGGAGGTCGGTTGGTCTTGCGGTTGGGGTGTAGGTCTTCATGCGGTCAGGGTCTGGGGGTTTGAAGTTGTCGACTGCAGTTTTCGAGTTTTTAGCAGGTTTCGGTGGGAGGGCGAGGGGGGAGGGGGGGGACTCGGAGGTCTGGGCCAGGGGAGGGGTTCGGGGGTGGGGGGAAGAAGGGCGAGAGTGGCGAAAGGGAAGGGCAAAGAAGAGCAGTTTTCGGGGAAGGAGAAAAAAAATCGTGATTTTGGCCAAGTTCTGGGTAGGACCGGCCCGGAGCCCGGCCCTGGCCTGGGGGGCCATGGAGTACCACCCCCCCCCTTGCAGGCGCCTGGTTTGCAGGATTTTGGTGCTGGACCCATCCAACACGCCGCCAGGGTCGGCGGACAAGGACAGGCCCTGCAGTTAAACCCAACCCTACAACCTGAAAATACCGAGCCCTACAATAGCCCTGAACTCAAAGACTGACCTATTTTAAACCCAGAGGCCCGAATGCCTGTGTACCGTATCCTTCCGAAACCGAGGAGCTAACGGGAACTGGGTTCTCCAGCGACCAGGACCAGGCGAGTGTGAAAGCATTAAGGTTCGGGCGTAGGTTTTGGGCAAGATCCGTCCATCAGGACAGCCCCAAACTGTATCGCCACTTTGGAGTGTTTAGTGTCACCCCAGCAACATATCTTGCTTGTGTTTGACTTCCCGCGGTTCTTGCCTGTAGGCGACTACCAAAACGCCTCTGCGGCCTACATGGCGTTCGGAGGTGAAGTGGTGGCCGATACCGGCTCGGAGGGCCTCCCCCTAAGAACAAGGAATTATGCAATGAGGGCTTACATCAATAGTTCAAGTTGCGGTGGAGGGTGGATATGGCTGGCTTAAACAGGGTTTGCAGGTTTAAACTCCAAAAGCCCAAATATATTTCTCAAAATTGTAGAAGACATTGGATTGGATGGTAGCATATAGTCTTTGACACTCTCCAGTTTTTCTCCCAACAGAGATGGTGTAGCTGCTCTTCTTAGCAGCGGCACCGAAGGCGTTTTGGCTTCCGCCGAAGTTACTGATAAGGGTCTAGGTCCTGGTGTTTTCCCGGTGCTGCTATGGCCTTTGAAGAATTTGTTCCACTAACCCCGAAGCGACGTCCTCCCGAATCCGCGAGATCTTCAGGCAAACTTTCTTGAAACAGCAAGGCAGCTTGTTCACTCCTGTCATGCCAAGCGCTGCAAAGTTCGCAAGCAAGCAGGGCACCAGAAATGCACCATGAACTCACGGTATCGGACCGCTGCTGGGTGTCATGAGACGATGCTGCCCCTTGTGCAACTATCAGACAGTGCGATTCACTAATGCCGGGGGTGGTTGGGGAACTAGTGAACATTCTCTCTGGCGCGTCCCACAAATTATCACCTGTTACTGGCCAACCATCTGGACAATTTTTCGCCCGCAGCAAAGGGCTTAACTGAGTTGAACTGTTCAGCATTGCATGTTTCTTGGACCTGAGTTGGCTTGCTTCCACGAATTCAGTTGTTGCTAGGTTAATCTGAACGTCCTGACACAACTTGTTGATGCCCAACGTCATCACGGTTTGGATGCTCTTGAGCATCAGTCGGATTGATAGCAGTGGCCATGGCACAGCAGGGACGCACCGCAATTCCTTGTCATTCGCAGCGAACCAAAGTCAAAAATGCAAGTCAGCTGACGACCTCTGTTTACATGCTCAGCTGTGTCTTGCTATGCAATAAAAAGCCTCGTTACATGCTGACCCAAGAGCAATACATCCGAGCTTTCCCTCGAGCTCCAAAGCAGCGACATTTTTCTGGCTCTCGCCAAACTTCGGCGCTGGGCTTCATCAGGTTCCAAGACACCCCATCTTTGCGATGGATGGCATTTTCGAAAAAACACTGCAGTGCCGAGCTTCAAAAACTACAACTGTCACGAATCGCCCGGGCCCAGTTCCCAAGCATTCAATCTCCATTTTGGAGACATAGATGCAAGGTACGGGTGCAGAAACGACACCTGTCACCAGGATTGCGCAACCATATATGTTCAATCCACTGCCGGGAGCTATGCCTCAAGTTCGGGATCAGAGCACAGTGTGTATCACCGATGTGGAAAAGAAACTCTGAACGGCCTTGTGGTGTGTGCCTTGCCACCAAACTTTACATAAGCCGACACGCCTACGTAAGAGGTAAGGGGATGTCTCTAAATTTGAAATTTCAAGTGTGACACCTGAGCTGCTGGCACCAGTTTTCGTGGCCCGGTCTCTCTTCAACTATTTTTGGGCATATGGTCTCAGCGAAAATAACACCAACACAGACCAAAGACCACCCAGGTGACATCATCAACGAAGCTTTCGCGGACGGCAGGAAAACGGTCTTTTTCAGCCTCGGAAGCAGATTTTTGGTTGCCTATCTCGAAGTGGAGACACTCCACTGTGACTCTCCGAACATGACTTTCGCGGACGACAGGGTTACTGCTATAGAGGAAGGGGTGCAGACGCTTGTGGTGGATGACCCATCCACCGAGACGATCAACGACTTTTGGCTGCATCCTTGCAATTGTGCTCCGCCTGCCTGGGGGCAGAACTTGCCTGTGACAAGCGAGTCCTTTTCAGCAATCCCGGCAGGCAGCCAGAATAGGTTCAGGCCGCCGCCCTTTCCCGTCGTCACAGGTGAGCTTTCGTGCGAACTTTCGGCACTCATAAACATCATTTACGAGACAGAGGTGCAAGCTGTGGATGCAGAGGAATGTCAAAGCCAGTGTTCACAGACTCAAGCATGCAAGTACTTCCTCGCTGGTGAAGTTCTCAATGCCAAGCAGTGCCGGTTGTTCAGCCAGTGCACAGAACTCTGGCGTGAGATTGGTTTGTCAGGCACTCTTTATTCCTTCCCTAAGAATGTTGAAGTTTGCGCCATTTCTGACCCGGTGCTCTGTTGGCATACCACCAAGCGTCGCCAGAGTCTGCGTGCTTATTATGACACTGCCTCCACGCAGTCCCTGATGAGAGCGCCATGCTTGGATCAGACTCTCTTCGAGAGGTGCGACGATTTCCTCTTCGTTGGCGGCCTGGGAGTCGAAGAGTGCTCGCCATGCAGGTATATGGATTCAACACAGGCTGGGCTTGACAACATACTCAGCAAGAGACTCTTGCCGAAGCGCTTTGACCATGGCACGATGCTGAAGGTGAGCTGTTGGGGTGAGAGGTGGGAGTTTCCGAAACAAAAGCGAATCGTGTCAACCTGCGACAGAGCACAAACGCCCCATGTCAGAAACTCCCAGGTATACTTCCTTAGCCGACAAACGCCCGACCTCTGGCTTCGCTCTGACCTGTGCCACTGGGACTGAGACCTTAGAGAAAGTCTTCAAGATAGTGTTAGTAAGGTCGAACCTGGTTAACCTGCACATGACTTGTGCTATGAGACCAAAAGACTACAGAAGACATCGGTTCCTACGATGGTCTTAGATATGTCACGAGGCCACTGGAAGCTGGTTTGCCGCGAGCGGCTCGAAAGGCCTTGCAAACTTCCAGTGCAGCGCCTACATCCAGGTGAGCCTTTTTTTGTTATTGTGTTTGCTTTTTGTCCTGCTGGTTCTTCTCAACATTGATATTGTCATTGATCTACACATGGTTTTGGAATGTTCCCCGCAATCGCCTTCCGTGTGTTAGCCTCGGGCCCTGATAAGCAGAGGCAACTCGACAGTTGCTTTGTCACCAACTAGAGGTTGTCATTTTCAAGGGTAAATCTGCAGCTCGGGTGCATACCGAGGTTTCTGAGTGTCAGGCCCGGTGTGCATTGTTCCAAACGGTTTCCTATTCCTGTAGCTTTTGTTCGGGACGTCGGACAGGGCCGTGAACTGTTCTAATCTGAAGCCGCCTCGGGTGCGTTTTCGGTGAAACAGGTGGTGAACAGCTACTATAAAGACTTGGACGTGCGAAACTGGCAGGAGCCCGTTGCGCCTCGGGGTCAACCTTGAAAAAGCCGTGAAAGTCTTGGGAACAACTTGGCCTTTGCTGCCAGGAGTTGTTCTTCTACCGATGGTTTGCAACCGGAATTTCTCTCGAGCGGAAACATGGCTCTTCCGAGAGTCTCGGAGACTTTTACGTACAGCCGGATGCGGACGGAGCGCCCGTGGAGTGGCTTGGCAACGGAGCTTCCCATGCGTTCCAAGACACCGCACCTTTGCTGAACGTCGCATGTCTCTCGCGGGTAGGCGAAAATTCCGAGATGTGAGAACCGGTCGTTGCTTGAGCACCACAGGCACGGCCCGTGTGCATCAGGGTCGATATGCTGGAAGCATGCTGTTCACGATGACCATATTACATTAGTGTTACAAGTATCCAAGTATCTGACGTACAAGTCATAGTAGTACTCCCAAGAGCACTAACATACTCTTAACATAATGACAGTAATGATGGTATTCTACTTATAGCAGTAATCTGCAACAACTATTACTAAAACTACTACTACTACTACTACTACTACTACTACTACTACTACTACTACTACTACGTTGTGATTGTGGTATCACCAGCTTTGACATAGACCTCCCACCAAAGCCTGAAAGACTCGAATCTGAGTCCACAA